TGGTGGCTTTTTTAGCATTTAAAATATATTTAAATCATCAGACGGCAATTTAAAATTTTTGCTTGCATCATTTAGCTGGAAGACCTTACATAAGTGTTTTGCAAAAGAATTTTCCTTTTCTCCGTAATTACGCGCACAGTAACTAATTATGTTTCTGGTTAGCGAACTCACATCAACTGGTGGCTTAAAGTTCTTATGTGCTTTCCAGTCAGTTTTTCCATTTGTGATTTGATATTGTGGTTCTGCAGGTGGTGCTGCCATTGTCTCCGTAAATGACACTTTTCTCTTCTATTTTAGTATTTGTTGTGGTCTCAGAGCTCCTAACAGTGTTTTTTCTCTTCTCCTTGGAGTTGCTAGAGTTGCCGCAGTGGTCAGCATGTTACTGTCCACATTAATGTGTTCAACAATAGCATTTTGACTGTTCGTATAGGGCTGATGTTACTATAATCTCTGAGCATGGCTAAGTCACGATTGTCGGCAATGGCCGCTCGTTCATCGATTTCGTAGAAAACCGAACCGTTGGACGGGTAAATCTGCGTCTAAATTCTTGCGAACGGTGTGGTGTTGATATTTTTTCAAATAAACGAAACAATTATTCAGCCAGCGGACTCTATTACATTCGTTTTGTGACGTTATTCGAAAAATAAAGTGCAGCCAGATTCTTTTGTAATACATTCGTGCCGAAATCATAGCCATCCTCGGGATGTTCGAAAAAGAAAGGGTTAATTTTGAAGAAGAAAATATTTCTAACCCCACGCTCGTTGGAGAAATACTCATTGGACCAGAAAATTTTGGAACTCTTGACTATCCAAAAAAATATTGACCAGCTGTGAGTCTAATGCTTTTTTTAGCAATAAGAAAGCACTGCTATGGTCCAAAAGTCTAAAACGTTATCTAGCGCTTTTATGTTCAAGAAGGATCCAAATGACGTCAAATCAGAGAAAGTGATTCGTCCAATCAGGAATAAACCGGGCATCTCGAGAACAGCACAGTGTATTCTGGTCGTCAAGGGATCTAGGCAATGTAAAGCGCCAAGGTTAGAGTGCTTCACACAAAAACAAAATTTTTTTAAACCATTGAAAAGTTTATATTATGAATCAAGTTAATATCTCAGTCAAAAGTGGCACCTGTTGGTAAGAATGGTCTATATCACGGCTACAATTTTTGTTGAAGTTAATACTGGTTCAACGATAGACAAATTTATCTACGACATCAACGTGACGTGAGCGCCGCATAGCGAATGTGATATTTGTTTGTTTGATGAGGGAGATATTTCGTCTTGACCTCATAGGCTTCACTTCCTCATACAGTCTGGAGAAAACAGAACTCACGTCGAGGTTGTTGAGGCCAATAATGTCAATATCATCGATATATCTTCTCTATTTAGCTCTTTAAAGAGTAGTATTTTCTACAGCGTTAGATTAAAGAAGCTACTCGATAAAGAATCACCTTGCTGAAAATCGTTTGGCATCGAAAGGCACGAAGCTGTCGTTCTCATTTTTGGCGTCAGTTTACACAGCCAAAGAAGTTTGGGATACCATACTCAGACATAGCGCGGTTAAGCAGCACTTTTTTAAGCTGTCGAGGTCTGTTAAAATTGACGAAGAAGTGGCGTGTAACGATTCACTTTTCACAGGTCATTCCTAAGATTTTTAACTTAGTGAATATCTGGGCAATGGCGAATTTTCGCGATCTAAAGCAACACTGAGGAGGTCCAATCAGTTTGTTGCCGGTAGGGTGTGGTCTTTTACCCAATAAGCTCGATAAAACCTTATTGAGGAACCAACAGCAATAGAATCTTGAAACAGAAACTCCTTATTTTCTGTCCAAGTAGCCAAATTGTATAAGAATTGTGTAACATTTTTTTAATTCATTTTTGCATTCCCACATTATTTCTTTAAATAGGGTTATATAAATGAGTGCAAAAAAATTGAAGTTACATTTCAAGACCAACTGTCCTTTTTCTGCTTTCAAGAAGCCCATTACTGCTGCGCGGTTGTACACGGCGTATACGTAATTTATTTTTAATTAACACTTGTAAGTCGCATTTCAAACCGATTTTCACGTGCATTTGCCATATTTACGTCTCACATATTCGCGCACAACAATATGCACATTAAAATGAATAATAATGATGACGAAAATGTGGAAAGTATAAGTAAAAACGACAAAAGTGCAGGAAATGCGCGTGGCAGCAATGCGGAATAAAGTTTTTCGTTGCATAAGTGAATTGACCGGTGCAAAAGGGAGGAGAAAATTGTTGAACAGTTAAAAGAGTTTAAAAGAAAGTGTGTTTGGTAGGTCACTTATATATGTACATATATGTGAATTTGAAGGTTTATAAATATGAAAAATAAAAAAGGGTAATTTCTGAAATTATATTTCGGCTGCTAATTAAGTTTCGAGCAGAATATAAAAATTTTAAAATATTCTTATATATTGCATATTAAATTCCTTGTATAAGTTTTCTAAGAAATATTCATTTGAAATTAAAAAGACATTAAAATATTTTCGTTTTATATTAGGCTTAGTAAAAAGTAATCCATTATTTTCGCATGAAATTGAAAACTTTATTTTCGACAATGTCCATGTTTTTATCGACATCTTCGACAATTGTTCTTCCACTCCATGAACATCTTCTACATCAAAATTACCGAAATGATACCGAAAGTGTGCACGATTGACTGTAACAATATCAGGACCATAAACGCACGTTTTCAGCCGCATAACTTGCGTTTTCGTCCTTATCGAAGAAAAACTGTAAAATATAGCGCAATTTCTCTTTGCCAGTGTCCATCTTTGACGCTCGCCCAAAGCAAAACTGAATCTATCAATTACAAAACTGTCAGAAATGCTTTCTTGGTACGAATTGTCATCTTTTTAACGCCATCTAGCGGAACCCGATCGGACTTATACAACGCAAGATACAGATAAATAACGCCATCACTAACTACACCAATATCTTAAGCGAACCCGATCACCCAATCGATGTCGATGGAACAGATGTTTCATTTCCCAACTTCTTCGTCGATTTTAAAGCAGCCTACGACATGCTCTACACCGCTAGGACTGCATTCGGCAAACCTGCAAAGCAAAACTTAAACTGAACAACAAAGATGCGTTAGAATTCCGAGCCGTTCAATGCTCAACGAGTGTTCAGACTAGGTGATTCCTTTAATTTATTGCTGAATATGTTATTGACATCAACAACCGCATAGTGAATGAGGACAAGATGCAATAACTCCTGTAATTCAACAAAAATTCCACAGTAAGTACTTCGTCAGGCGACAAGACTTTGGGAACGAGCTAAGGGCTGCAAAATCTCGAGTACTTAACTTACAAAGTTTGTACTGTCTGTAAAGAGTCCGGATCGTAGTCTGCTGTTAGTACCATTAACGGGGCAAGGTTTTAGTGCAGGAAATAAAAGGAATATGTGGAGACAGTGGAGCATGTAATTTGTGAGCGTACATCATTCGGCAGACAAAGGCTATGGTTACTTGGCGTATAGAAAGGCTACAGGATCTTCAATCGGCAATGAGCAAGTGACCATAAAGACTACTTCAGTTTGCGAAAAGAACAGCAATGTTCTTCATCCTAGGGACTCAGTAGCAGTGTCGCAGTCCAGGTTGGTGTTGTTGTTGTAGTAGCGGTTCACTAGCCCCGCTTAGGCACAGGTTTGGTCAGTCTAAGTCGCCGAGGTCATCTAATGGTAGGTCCAGGAAACGAGCTGTTTCGACGGGGTTGGACCAAAAGCAGAGGGGGGTTAGATGAGTTGGTTTTAAAGGGCAGGTCATACGTTGGGTATGCTGGGGTCTAGTCTGAGTAAGTAGGAGTTTAACCTGCTACAATCCAGACCTGAGTTGAGTCAGGGTCACGCGGGTCTCTCGAGGCAGCTCGAGCTCGTTGGTCCTATGTAGTGCTTGGGGCAATACTATAGATGAATTGTATTACCGCCTATGTGAGACTCAATAGCTCATCCAGTTTAACCTAACTTAACCAAAAATCGCATTGGCGACTCGCCTACCTTGTCACTGTTGACAATCATAACTTTCTACAGACCTCAATTAACACCAACATATGCTTCTTTGGACTAAGTGGGCAATTGTCGGCGAACCGGAACCGAGTTCTACAAGTCCCACACAGTCCCCTCTTACTAAATGGTACAGAAGAGTGGACGATGCCAAGATCCGATGAGTCGGCCTTGGGAGTCTTCGATAGAAGGGTTTTGCGAACGATTTATGGTCCCGACGGTGGAAGTAGAGAAAGAGTAAGACCTGCACTTCGTTCGAAAGACTAGATGGAGAACAACTTGGCTCTACTTCATGTAGAAAGAATCATTTTTGCTAGTCCGTGGAGCCTTCCATCTCGGATTACCCAGCAAGAGTAGCCTTAATGACCTTAGAACTTATCTGTGGAAAGCCGTAATGAAATTTCTAGAACTAAATTATGTGTAACTTATAAAGATTTCATGAGGCGATGCAAAAAAAAGCATGCATAAGCAAACTCATGGCAGTCCTTTTGATCATCCTTAGAAAGCCAGGGTTAAGTAAGATATTGACAAAAGCGCACCCTAATAGTGCTTATGTTTATAGGGATTTTGAGTTGTTAGTTGTCGGAATTTTCACGCCATCGTATTTCACAACGAGTTCGAGCAGGTACTCCTTCGCTCAGCTGATGAAAAGGTATGCCAAAGATTACGCAGGCTGTGGCTGTTGGTGTTGTGCAGTGAAGAAGTAGGAAAGGTCAACCATAAAATAGTTCACTATTGAACATAAGTTATCAATAACCTTTCTAGTACTGTCTAGTACTCAGATATCCCATGGTCGAGCACTCTGCAGCCCCAGCGGTAATGACGAAACCTCAATGTGCGATAGTAGCACCAAATGTTGACGGTGCTAAAGCCGAGTATGCACCGTATACCAAGTACATTTTACGGCACCAAGATTTATTACGATTAAAAAAAAAAAGAAAAAATACTGAAATTGAGAATCTGAACTTACTGCGTTGTATTTCTGAAGCTGCAGCCAGCAAGTCGTTATTATCATCATCCAACATTTTACGTGTGTATGTGTGGGTGCGAATATTTGGATATTCCGTGGACGCTTAATTCGGCGGCAGCTGCTCGTAGGGCAAATAAGTGCCGTGACAATTGCAATTACAAAAGTGATTTGGAGACTGATCCGAAACGGCGTTGTATGGTTGCGACAACTGCGGAGCTGCCAATGATGATGCCAAAGACGACGGAGTCAAAGAAGACTGCTGTAACTGTGCGAATTGATGTGAATATGGCGGCAACTGTATAGAGGACGGCTGATGGTATTGAGGCAGCTGCGTATATTGTGGTGGTGGCGTCGATGGTAATTGCGATGTGCAGTCCTGGTATTCGTAAGAGTCAAACGATGTTGGTGTTGCTTGCGAGTATATATATTGTGGTTGTGTGTGTGAGTGTTGTTGATGTTGTTGCTGAAAGTGGTGTTGTGTTTGTTGCTGTTGATGAATCAGCTGTTGGTGGTGTTGCGTTTGTTGTTGGCGGTGTTGCTGATGCGCCAAATTTTGTTGTTGCTGCTGGAATGTCTGCTGCGAAAATTTCTCTTGTTGTTGCAATTGTTGTTGATGCTTCTCCTTCTCAAGCAACGAAGTCAAGTGCGACAGTTGCGCCTCATCTGGCTTCAACGGCGGCAATGGCAATAAATGTTGTTCCTTATTCTCGCCCAGTTGGCTCGATTTCCCCTGTGGCGGCAGGTGTATGTAGTGTGGATAGGGACTGTTGTAGACACCGCTCAAGCGTGGCTCCAAACGGATATATGGCACACGTTCATATATGGTATACCAGCGTGTTTGTGGATTCACTTGATAAACGTAACGGTCACGCTTATGCAGTTGATGTGTTGAATGTCGCTTCTCAGCCGGTTTCACTGGACGCACAACAGCACGACAAACTTGCTGCTGAGATTGATTCTGGCGTAGATCGCGTCCACCGTGCGATGGTGGTGGTGTCACGTGTTGCAGTTGTTGCACGTTGGGTGCAAGCACACGTCTGTTGGGGTTTTGATTGCAGCTGTTTGGGCTGCAACGACTAGGCGGGGCGTGGGATGCCGTTGCGATGTTGCTGTCGGGTAGGGGTTGTGGCGGTAAGAGCTTGTAGCGCCCTTTCAATGACAATTCGGTTGCGGAGTGGTTGCAGGGTAGTTTCCGGGGGTTGTTGGTGTATGTGTTTGGCAATGGTCACATTAATTTAATTTACTCAAAATTTTGGGCTCTTCTAGTTGGCCACACCAAGTGCAAAATATTTCTAAAAAAAAAAAATTAAAATCATTTTTATTAAATTTTAAAGGAAATTCATAATAAATTAATAAATCTATATTCCATCTATACATACGTCTATATTATATATATATATAAAAGTTTATTTGTTTTTGTGATCCCCGAAGCTAGACGACAGATCATACTGCACATTTTTTAATTTCTCTCTTAGGATCTTGGAAAGGTTTGTGGACAAAAATTGTATTTTCCGATTTTCTGAAAATTCGGCACATGGACAGGCTACTTCGCTCTCGCTCAGAGTGTGACCTATTCGAAAAATCTTTGACGTTAAAGCGAAATCTACTGAGGTCATACCAGCGCTTTAGATACCCGCTTGAAGCAAAGCTGACTCTCAGGCATAGCAGAAATAAGGTATAAGCCCACGCGGGCTCTACATATACCTAAATCTTTTATAGAAACCCCATTCATGAATCAATCAACAACTCCCTCTAAAAGAGAGTTACCGTGAATGACTACCGCATAATCTAGAGCAAGAGCTCGAGTAGTGTTACGTGTCGCATCATATCACTAAAAGTTTGCCTTTGACAGTTTTTGTGAGCGCGCGTCAAAGATGGACACCAGCAAAGAGAAAATTCGCTACATTTTATAACTTTTCTTCGATCAAGACGAAAAAGGAGCCAAAGCGGCTGAAAAAATTAATTTAGTTTATGGGCCCGATACTGTAAACGAACGTGTAGCACAAAAGTAGTTTGCTAGGTTCCGTTCCAGTAATTTCGATGTCAAAGATGCACCAGGTTTTGCTGTGTGTTTGTTGGGATTGTCAAGGAATCATCTACTACTATCTATCATCTTCTCCCCTATGGCCTAACCTTCAATCCGGCCCTCCACTGCCAACAACTGGAGCACTTGAAGGCAGCACTAATCCAGAAGAGGCAATCTTCGACTAATAGACGCCGAATTGTGTTCCATCAGGACAACGCCAGGCCACACACGTCTTTGGTGACGCGCCAAAAGCTCCAGGAGCTCAAATGGGAGGTCCTAATGCACCCTAATAGTCCGGACCTGACACCAAGTGATTACCATTCCTTCCTGTCCATGGTGAACGCGCTTAATGGTGAGAAGTTGGCCTCAAGAGAGGCCTGTGAAAATTGGCACTCTAGAGTTTTTTTTTCAATAGGGACGCAGCCTTCTACGAGAGGGGTATAATAAAGTTGGCTCCTAGTTGACAGCAAATTTACGAACAAAACGGCGTATATTTGACTTAAATCGGACAACTGTACACAAAATTATCATATTTTGAGAAATCAATAAAAAAAAAACGAACGAATTTGTTACTTGACCTAATATTTGCTTGTTACATGGTAGGTATAGACATAAGTAGCTATATACAATCTAGCAAATTCAACTGCTATCCAAACGGATGCTGGGAGGACAGATCAAGAAACCATATGTGATTCCAGTTCTCGGATGTACTCGTAATAGCCCGTCCAATATATATTATATGTATATTGTGGGTAGTTTTGATAATACCTCACATAAGGCTTGCGACGTAATTCCAAGAAATAAGAAGCAGAAGGAACGATTTAAATATTGACAGACACTGCGTTGAGGAATAGGTAGTTGGAATAACCCTACAGAGGATGCCGGCAAGGCAGTGTATTACCATCACTTCTATAGAATCTAACTGTGGATGGCCCAATGCTACCGAGACTTTGCAGATGGGATAGTCATAAAATTTGGAAACTTCAGAATATCTGTCAAAGGAATGTGAAGCAGTAGCACGAAGAAACCTATGTGATAAATAGGACAAATATCAATGTCTGTACTGGATTGAACAGATTCAGTGAAGCCCCCTCAACATTTGTTTGGCGCCCGCTTAACACTATTAGAAATTATTCGATACAACGCAATAGTATTGAAAAATAAATTGCGAGAATTAATTGTTTATTATAATTTATAACAATTTATTGCACACCATTAAATTCCTTTACACTTAAGAGAATATTCTATGAAATGATCGAAAAACATACACTTTGAGATAAATTTCAATTAAAAATCAATAAAAAAAACACACCACATTTCCGAAATCAATTAACACTAGCCAGTGAAATAATATTTGAACACACTATTCTTTGCAATTACGAAAAAACACTTTCAAATTAATTACGTATGCAGACACCTGTTGCTGACGTATACACATTTAATTGATTTTTATTTAAAAAAAAAAAAAAAGAACAGAAAAATTATGTAGATACAAATTGAGAGCAAAGAACTAAAAAACTAGAACTCACTCACATTAGCGCAGTACACAAAACACAGTTAGATATTTAGAGAAAAATTTAAAAAAAATCACCAAATCAACCGGATAAAATGCAAAATAAAAATTTCAAGTTCAACGTTATAAAGCTGAAATTCTACTAAACAACAGTTGAGGCGGCGAAAAGTTTTGTAGCTGTACAGCTTAAGCGCGATAAAAATGTATAAACAAAATAAAACTTGAAATCGAGCTGCTGGGCTGGGTTAAAAGCTAACAAAAATATTCTATAAACAATTCTGTGTGTCTAAAAATATGTATGTACATATACAGAGCAATATATAAGTGAATATCTAGAAATATATATTCGAATAAAGGTACGAGTTTGTATGTATGTATGTACATTAGTTTATATGGAAGTATACAAGCTTGAAAGTAGAATCAAATACTTAGTGGAGAATATGGACAAAGGAACCAACAATAAAATAATAGAAAACATGAAATAAAAAATAATTAAACCATTTAGGATAAAAACGCAAAAAAATAAAATAATTTAAATTAGAATGAAAAAAAAAATACAATTGGTTTGAATAAATAAAAAGAAAAAAGAAAATAAACGATTGATTAAAAAAATAAAATGAAAAAAATTAAATTGAATTAAAATAATACAAAAATAAAATAATATAAAATAAAAATAAAATAAAATTAAAATATTCTAATGAAAATATTCTCATTTTTATTATTTTATGAAAAATAAAATAAAATCAATAAGGGTAAAAAAATTAAGAATGTTTTATTTGCACTAAATAAACCAGATCAACCAATTTAAATTAGAATGAAATGAAATAAAAAACCTATATACTATTAATAGTGATATAAAAAAGTATATACAACAATAGTGAAATAAAATAAAATATTTATTAAGTTTAAATAAGCAAAAGCAAAAACTATTAATTAAAAAAATAAAATGAAACAAAATAAATGGAATTATAATATTACAAAAATAAAATTTTATAAAATAAAATAAATTCAAATATTCAAATGAAAATATTCTTATTTTAATTATTTTATGAAAAATAAAATAAAATCAATTAGAATAAAAAATTAAAAATGTTTTATTTGCAGTAACAAAACCAGATGAGCTAATACAAATTAGAATGAAAAAAATAAAAAACGTATATACAATAATAGTAAAATAAAATAAAATATTTATTAAGTTTAAATAAGCAAAAGCAAAAATTATTAATTAAAAAAATAAAATGAAACAAATTAAATGGAATTATAATAATACAAAAATAAAATAAAATAAATAAAGTAAAATAAAAAAATAACTCAAAATTTCGAACAGAAAAAAAGCGATGATAAGAAAATATTTAAATAAAATAAAATGGATTAAAATAATACAAAGTATTTGAAATATGAAATACTAGCTACACCCTTCAAGGCTTCGCTGTGGCACATATTCGTTGACTGCATGAAAAATGAAACAAAAGCAAAATTCAGGTAAATCGAGTCGAAATCCAATAACTGGATCTCTAGTCCAATTCCCAGAGAAAAGAGTAGTCTTACTGGAAATCTTAGCAAAAAAAAAACACCTATGTACTGTATTTTATGTAAATCGAACCATGAATACGATTTCTTCGAAAAACCCATTTCCTGGTCCACTTGTGAAAAAAATTTCAATTTCCTACTATTGGACATAAGATTTATATACTATATATTTTATATATATACCTATATATATAAATATAATATACATAACTGAAAAAAATAAAATTAAGTGAAATAAATCAAAACATTATATAAAAAAAAGAAAATATAATAAAATAAATTTATTTTAAAATAAAATATATTAAACAAAAGTGAACAAATTCAGCACACACACATTATTGTTGATGTTGTAGTGAGTGGTTTTGCTCATCCACCTACAAGCTTATACATTTGTACAAACGTATTTGCTCTCTCATATATAAAAAATTTTATGTATCTATCCAAACTGAGAATGATTTTTTGCAGTGCAGAAAATGTATAAAAAAAAGCATACAAATTTCATGATTAAATAAAAAAATAAACACGAAATTGAGAGAAAAGCTAAACAAGATTAGAAAGCGCCGAAAATGCAGAAAACAAAAATATAAAAATATTCAAATTATGTACGAACGAATATATCTTAATAATAATCTCAGCTAATAATAATGGTTTCGGTGCGATATGAAATCTCAACGAAAATCTCATCATAAACGCCGCGCGTTTTCTTATTTGGCTTGGCGGAAGCCGTAAAAGAAAGAAAAAATAAATAAAGTAATAAAATGGGATATAATTTTATTTGGCGACCTTGCCTGCTTTATTGATGAATTGTAGGAGGCATATACGTATGTACATATGTTGAAAATTTGCATGCATAATACTATTCGGGCGTTCGGTCGGACTTTAAGTTTTTTCAGCAAAAAATATTTACAATCGTTAAGAGTGTAATTTTTCAAAAATAAAGAACGAAATTCGTTTTGTAGTCCAATTGAATTCCTTTTTAGCCAAGAAAAATTAATATTTTAAAGTAGAAGAATCATACCATTCTTTTGGAAAAAGTTCAAATAAAATAAAACAAAAAATATAATTTAATTCAAAAATTAAATTTAAAAAAAAATTAAAGTGAAAACCGAAACTTAAATAAAAGTGTAATCAATTAAATTAAAAAAATAAAATGAAAAAGAAATTAAATAACATAAAAATAATTCAAAACTTAAATAAAAATAAAATAAAATAAAAGCCAAAAATTAAATAAAAGTGTAAATAAGTTAAAATGAATAAAAAGTAAAATAAAATAAAAAATTAATTAAAATAATACAAAAATTGAACAAAAATTAAAATAAAAAAAATTAAATAAAATAAAAACCAAAAATTAAATAAAAGTTAGCTTTAATAATATAAAATAAACGTAAGATAAATTAAAACGAATTAAACTCAAATAAAATAATAAATTAAAAAAAAAAATAATATAAAAGAATTTTAGTTTTAACAGCAAATGAAATAAAATAAATAACATAAAATGCATGTAAAGCAATTAAATAAAATTAATTAAATTAAAATAAAATTAAAAAAAAAAAAATAAATTGAAACAAAAAAGTAAAATATAATAAAAAATTAAATAATCTATTTTTATATAAATAAAAGCCTTTGGCCTGAATGAATGACGGATAAACACACAGCCTAAACCACGGATCATAGAGACCTGAAACTTGGAGCGTGTATTCTGCGAATGACGTAGACATCCGATAAGAAAGGATTTTTCCGGAAAATGGACCTTGTACCGATCTATACGAAAAAATCGATTTTATTTTTAAATCGTTTGATTTACATGAAATTCGGTAAACAAGCAAGCTCTGCCCGAGTTGATATGGGGAAGATTTTTACTTTTAGGAAGTTGACCTGTGGTCGATGCGAAGGCTCGGTCTTGCCTTATATGAGGGTAGCTCAGCTCTTTACCTATGGCAATGAGTGGAGAAATTTTCATTCTGGGACCGATCTATAGGCGGAATTCTATTCGTATTTTTGGTTCGATTTTCTTGAAATTTGGACTATAGAAAGCATCTTTCTTATGGTAATGTATGGAAGGCTATTTATTTTTTTCATATATTTTAACATAGTATTTTATAGGTTATAATAAAATAAATACCGTAAAAGCCTAATAAAAAAATGTTATTTGAACAATCTTTGTATTCCATGCGGACAAAGTCGAAGGCAACCTTTACTATATAATAAAATATAATAAAAAATATTAAAATATAATAAAAAATTGTTAAAAAAAATTAAATATAATAAAAATGATTGAAAAATAAAATAAAAATTCAATTATAAAATAAATATCATAAAACTAATAGAGTCAAAATAAAATTAAGGCAAATACATTTAAATAAAAAGATGTAATGTGATATTAAATAAAATGAAAAACAAATTTAAAAAAATAACAAATACAATTACTAAAATCGAAATAAAGTTAAACTAAAATAAATTAAAAAATATATATGTAATAAAAAAACATGAACTAAAAAAAAAATACTCTTAATACAAATTCGCTGAATGCATCTCAAATAAATAAACGCGATTTCAAAAGCAACAAAGTAAACAAGCGACCAAGACGAGACAGAGCCGGTACATATCAATAAAAGAATATTACAATAATTTGCCAACAGCTAACAGATGACTTAGACATTAAGTCGCTTTCGCCTTTTATGTAAGGCTGTGAAGTGAACGGCAGCTCACAACACACCATTCACCAACAACCAATTTGATGATGATTCCAATACAAATACAATAAATAACCTGAATGAATGTGAATGAAGTGAAAAACGCTATAGAAGATGTTATAAACAGAAGAAAAAAATAAAAATAAAAATAAAAATAACAAAAATTTAAAAATAAATTAAATAAAAAATAAAAAATAAGTAATAAATTTTAAAATAGTAAAGGAAACATGTTTAAAGGTGATAAAGTAAACAACAACGCCGAGAGGGCAATGTAAACGCCATGATTGATAATTTAATTATATATCAACAATGTATCAATAAGTTTGCACTACACTTTTTAGTCATAAAGCAATACGACTTATGAGAATGCTTAAAAGTGTCAACAATATTTATGACATTGCATCAAAGAAAAATTCAAACGAAGCTTTTAAACAAATTCTCACTCACATTAATATCGAAATAAAAAAATCTAAAACTCGTGTTTGAAAGTAGCATTAAATTAAAAAAGTAGTTTCTCAGCCAAAAAAGGGAGTAGGAAGTGCAACCCACACATAAATGTTTTTTTTTTTGTAATTTCTCATTTTAGTTCGACACAAATGTGTAGTCAATTAACGTTTATTTACTTTTTGAGCAAATAACTGTGGGTTGATAATTTCCAGCAGCCAAAACCCAATAGATTGGCAGTCAGTCAAATGGTACACTTACATATAGCCAGCCATAAGGTAAACTTTACAAAAAAAAAAAAAAAAACAAAAAAAAAAAGTTAAAATAGAATGGAATAAAAAAGTACAGCAAAAATACAGTAAAGTAGCAGTGGCAATGACAATGACAGTGCTGGCAAAGATACCAAATCGAATTCTGTAGGCCAAAGCAATTTTGAATTTGCATTTATTTTGCTTTCCGTGTGGGGCGTTTCGGCAGCAGTAACAGCTGGCTTTTAGTTTTCGCTGATTTGGCTTAAAAGGCAAGACAAAGAAAGAAGAGCAATAACAAAATAAAGTAAAGTAAATGAAAAAAAAAAAATTAATTAAAATGAAATTAAAAAATATATAAAAAAATTAAATAAAAGAATTGCAAGAAAAATAAAATAGGATCAAAAATAATATATAAAACTAGACCGAAGAAAAAATATTTTAAATAAATCAATAAAGAAAATGAAATGAAATTAAAATGTAATAATAAAAATTAAAAATAAAATAAAATAAATCAAAAATAAGTAATGCCAGATAAATAAAAATACATTAATAAAAATAAAAAAATATAAAAAATAATAACACTAAACGAAACAAAAAATAAAATAAAATAAAAAGAAAATGAAGTGAAATAAAATAATACAAAATAAACTAAATCAAAATTAATTTTTATTAAAATAAAATAATTTAAATTAAAATAAAAGTATTTAATATATAATAAAGGCGGCCGCAATAGCCAAGTGTGGCGTACTGCTATTCTGAAGACTAGCATTTAAGTACTGATTGGACCAACAAAAATATAGAAAATAAATTTTTGTAATTGCGGTCGCCTCTCGGCAGGGTATGTCTAACCCTCTGAATGAATTTCTGACATGAAACAAAAGCTCCTCATAAATATCCATCTGCCGTACGTTGACGGCTCAGAATAAACTGCATAGTCCTCTATTTGTGGTAAAAAACATCAAGACCCATAACAGAAAATGTAGAAGGACCTCGGCCGAAAACCACTTCAAGAGTTAGAAAGCCCTAATTATATAAAATAATATAAAAGGAAATTAAAATAAAATAATAAATAAAATAAAACTGAAATGTAAATAAATGAAATAATGTAAGATATTAAAACAAAGTAAATATAAATAAACAAAATAAATTTAAAATTAAAATAAAAAAATATAATAAAATAGAATAAAACTAAAAAAAATAAAAACTAAAAATAATATAATAAATAAAAGAGCCTGAAGGAAAGAAATAAAATTAATTAATAAAAAAAAAAATAAACTAAATTAAAAATAAACAAATAAATAAAATAAAATAAAGAAAAATAAAACTCAATAAAACAAGTGAAAGAAAATAAAAAAGTTAACTAAAAACAATATAAAAAAGAAACAAAGTTAAATGTTTTATGGACAAATTTATGACCCAAAAGAAGAAATCGGAAAAACCAGTAGTTATACCATTGAAAAAATATGCTTTAGATTTCTCTTTAGAATAGTTTTCTATGGCCTATTCATTTCATTGACGTGCGAAAATCCTCCCCCTCGTCTTTTTGATTAAAAAAAAAAGTGGAAAAAGTCACCAGCAGCCAGGTGTAGACTGTAGGATAGATGGTCAATTTCTATAAATCCTTTTCAAGGCATCCCTCCTAACCCGAGCGGTGTGAACGGTTGCGTTGTCTTCAAGAAATAGCACTCAGCGTGCTAACTTGCCATGTCTCTTACTTACGTCTGTTTCATGCGCCTGATCCAACAAATTAGCGTAATACTGGCCGTTCATTAGGGTTCCCTTTGGCAAGCAATCAATAATTTTCCCTCGTAGCCGTAACTTTCGTCGCCGACTTTTTCCCACTTTGAATCTTTTTTGTGCTTATCCCCTTTTTTATCCACCAACTAGACTCCTGTTTATACTCGGTATCATATTGGCGAATACAAGTTTCATCAAATGTAAATTTCATCTAAATTATCTTGAGAGAATATCAAAAAATTTGTACAATTCCTTAACCGTCGCTGCTGGTCGAGTCGAGTAAGAATTCGCGGTACCCAACTCGCACTAATTTTTTTCATATTAAAATGTTCATGCAAAATCTTTCCAACTCATTCTTTGCTAATCTGTAAGAATTCTGCTCTCTGTCACAGTTTAATTTTTCGATCGTCCACTACTAATTTTTCGACTTCCTGAAAACTTTCCTCGGTCATGACCGCCTCTGGGCGGCCCGGGCGGGAATCATCTTCACCGGTCTCTCTTCCTTGTTGGAATAGTCCCATCGTAGATGAAGGGGCAGAGTACCGAAGAACCGATGGCATATCTTTGAAAATTTCTTTCAGCGTACTTCCTTTTATAATAAGCAATTTAATCACAGCGATGTTGTCATATTGGTGTTGCTTTTACCAGGAACGAAATGTTAATGAACCCAATAAAAAAAGTTAAGTTATTTATACTAATAATGAGACCCCAGAATTATCAGTAACGAGATGATTTGTCATCTCTTACTATCTCAGGCCACGAAAAAATCTCCCGCCCCACGTACCGTGATAGATAGGCGGACTCGGCTAAATCAACTTAACTCGTCATTCGATTCAGCCGATCGGTATAAATTGTGATGGGTCTTTCTCTTCTCCTTTTAGCACTTACATATTTCGGATCAAAGTTAATATCAGGTCAAGTAAGAAGTTCATTCGGTTTTTTTATTGGTTTTTGTAAATAACTTTATAATAACTTTGAGTACATTTGTCTGATTTGTTCGTAAACTTGTTGCCAACGAGATGTTAACTTCATTATACCCCACTCGTGGAAGGTTGGGTCCCTATTGGCAAAAAAAAACTCGGAGAGCAAATTTTCACAGGCCTCTCTTGGGGCCAACTTCTCACCATTAGGCGCGTTCACCATGAATAGGAAAAGATGGTAATCACTTGGTGTCAGGTCCGGACTATGAGGTGGGTGCATTAGGACCTCCCATCCGAGCTCCTGGAGCTTCTGGCGCGTCACCAAAGACGCATGTGGCCTGGCGTTGTCCTGATGGAACACAATTCGGCCTCTGTTGATCAAAGATGACCGCTTCTGGATGAGTGCTGCCTTCAAGCGGTCCAGTTGTTGGCAATAGAGGGCCGGATTTAACGTTTAGCCATAGGGGAGCAGCTCGTAGAAGATAGTTTTTGTCAATCCCATCAAACACACAGCAAAACCTGGTTAATCTTTGTCATTGAAATTACCGGAACGAAACCTAGCAAACCACTTTTGTACTCTACTCCACTAAATTCATTTTTTCAGCCGCTTTGGCTGCTTTTTCGCCGTGATCGAAGAAAAACTGTAAAATATAGCGAATATTCTCTTTTCTGGTGTCCATCTTTGATGAGCGCTCACAGCGTACTGAGTCAATCAATTGAAAAACTGTCAAAGACAAACTTGCGACACGTAACAGTAGTACTATGGACAATAACGCCATCTCTTATAAAAAAAAACCGAACGAACTTTTTACTTGGCCTATGAATGAATGAAATAATGTGAAATAAACGGAAAAAATAAAATAATATAAAGAAATGATAGGCAGAGAAATAGAATAAAATAAAATGTAAATTACTTTTCTTCTTTTTTAGTTGCCTTCTAAATACCATTAACCCAGGTTAAATCATAATTATTGAATGATTAATGTCAAAATTTAATAATTAACTCTTAAATATGTGTAAGCCAAATTTACCAAAATTTTTATAAAATTTTAAATGAGGAAAGTCAGTCCCACTTTGGGTTCTCTCTTTCCTTTCAATATTTGCGATATCTTTGAGCGACCTGTAGTTTGCCACTTTTTTTACCATTTTAATAATATATTGCTTAACCTTTGAGATTTTAACAAACTAATGAAAAGTGCACACATAAGCCGACCAACCAACCTACAAACATACATACATACACACATAGTAAGTACACCCTTTTATAGTCATATTCTTATATTATATTTCTAACGAACTTGACATTTTCTATTCAAACGAGTAAAACAAAACGAAAAAAGAAAAAAGAAAAACGAAACTAAATGAACACGTGTAGGTGTGTAGGTGGCAAGAAGCAAAATACAAAAATAAGTAACAAAAAAATAAAAACAAAACAACTAAACGAAAATAAAAGTAGAATACCATACAAAGAGCAACGTTGCGACGGTGTTGAAAGGTAATTGTTTGGAAAATTTTATGTACGAGTATTCTGATGGCCATACTTGTTTGCTTGTTTGTTTGCGCAGGTTGTTGGAGTGAATGTAAGCGTCTCTTTTTCTTGCTCTTTTTCTTGAATGATGTAATTGAATATGTATTTCTTCTTCTCCTCAAACGAAAAGGAAAGAAAAATTAAGAAAGTGTAAAATATTTGATGAGCATGTGTATGAGAGAATTAATGAACGTAATTAGTAGGTAGTACATGTGAGTGTATGTATTGTGAATGAATTGTTGTTATTGCTATATTTTATGACTGCTCGTTTTATCGTTTTAAGTGATGTGCACGATAAAAATGTACATATGTATATGAAATTGAAATTAATTGCATGAGCGCAATTTTTAAGAGGCGATATTTCATATTATCGATTTAACTTAATTTGGTGTAAATTGTATTTCTCTTTGGAGTAACAAAAAAAAATTGAAAGCATTTTTTCTCAAAAATTTTACTTAATTATTTCCTTATATTTTATTTTGGTTATGATATACACTAAAAATGAAAATTTCATAGACACATCCCTTTCATTTTCTTCTGCGCTTTCCTCTCCAATTTGATTATCACAGACGATCTGACTAATTATTGCATGAATTTTACGTTGACCAAAGTTTCGTCGTCTAATGTAATGCATTAGCCAAGTTTTTTTTACTTTACTTCGTTTTATTTTATTTTATTTTATTTTATTTTATTTTATTTTATTTTATTTTATTTTATTTTATTTTATTTTATTTTATTTTATTTTATTAATTTAAAATCAATTTTTATAATTTAATATTATTAAATTATTCATTTTATTTATAAAGTTTAATTTAAATTGTGTTCCATTTTATTTTAATTAGTTTTTATTTTGTCTCACTTATTTGTTATTTTTGTTTTTAATTTTTCATTTAATTTAACCGACCAATTCTCTATTATCTAAATATAGTTGCTCTGCCCATGTTTTTATGTGGACAAATACATATTTAATATGACTTCGCCAATATTGAATGCCATAACCACTTCATTTTGCTATGCAATTTAGCTACTCATTATTGGAATATTTTAATCGCTTTCTCATTCTTGCAATTTGCCATATCAACGCTCATCGGACTGACGTAATATTCCTATGTGTAATATTTGTACCTGCTTAAGGTCATTTCGTTTAACGAAAGTAATTTATTTGACTTTTTTTTCTAAATGGAAAATTGCAAATTTCTCGCTTTAAATTTATACCTGTACTAAGCGTTTGGCGGGCTATACAAATATAAATTATGCACATTTTTTTCTATGTAAAATTATTTGCAGCTTTTTTTATATTAACACATATGTGGGTATGTCTGCTTGTTCAAGTAGTGTTGCCTATATATGTAAACGTGCATGAATAGTGTAGGAATGAATGAGCGTACACACCCACGCTTTGTGGTTTTGCCGCGTTCATTTGCTTTTTCTTTTTGTTTGTGATTTGTTTTTAGTATTATTTAATGTATAATAAGTGATATTATGACGAGTATTTCTAAAGTAAGAGTTGGTAATAGTTAAATGAGGTCATTTTATGAATGCTCTTTACATGTAGTATGACTCAAAGGCCCATAGATATTTTTACAAAAATATTTCTTTCTTTTTCTTTTCACAATAGCCTTAAAAGAATATTTTACTCCTTTTAATTATCGATTCATTTATTACGGCCATCCTAACGGCGCACACAACACTAATCAATCATAACAAATAGGAAAATTCGCTGCTAATACCAGCAGGCAAGTACATAATCCATTCAATTTTTGACAAAGCAATGATTGATTTCACACCCAAGTTCATATGAAAAATAGAAGAAGGAAAGATAAAGAAAAAGGAAAAAAGATAAACAAATAAATAAACAAATTTGTGAAACATTTATAAATGTACCTACCATCAAGATGGCATGGCGTATGAGTGATGTGAATATCACCTGCGAATAATTGCATGCGAGAAATATTACAAATTCAATTAGCCATTTCCGATAATAAGAGAAATGTTGCGCAACACAGTGTTTTGTATTTAAATATAACTCATTCATAACTGGAAAATGTTGAGCCCGAAGCGTATTTGAGCGTAAATTTATATTTACTCATGAATTTACTTGGGGTTGAACTAACATTTGGGGAGCATACCGAGTACCTGGGAGTAGTTTTGGACAGCAAGCTGATGTAGAAACTAAATCCGGAAGAGAATATTTAAAAGACCGCCTTTATTTATATTTCCCGGCAAATATTGGCATGGTTGAGTTGAGCTTTGGTCTGCGGATTGTCGGTGTAAACTTTTCTCTTCAAATACGCCCATAAAAAGTAGTCCAGCGGCGTTAAATCGGGTAAGCGCGGTGGGCAATCGAAATCGCCGTTTTCCGATTTGATGCGTTGGTCGAACATCGTGCGGAGAAGTGTCATTGAATCGCGGCTGGTGTATGCTGTAGCTCCGTTCTGTTTGAACCAAAAGTGGGTAATGTCATTTTTTGTCATTTCCGGAAACACAAAATTCATCGTAACAGCGTTGCCAGCCTCGGTGTTGAAAATATGCGGCACGATGACAATTTTGACAAATACGCTTTTTGCTAATGGAGAGACTCCTCG